TGCTTACTTAAACTATGTCCTTTCCATTTGTCCTCTTTCTCAGTATTACATTACACTCTAACACTCTCATTAGTAAGGGATTAAGGAGACAAGAGTAAAGAAAAGGATAGGACAGATAACTACAGTACTTGCTGGATGTGTTTTAGGGCAGTTTAGAATTGGAACACAATGAAATGTGCTTTTAGGTCAGTGACTGGCCTGAAGAGTATGTGGATATGGCTTTCTTTCCTGAGCGGTGTCACATCAGAGCAGTCACCTGTAGAGGACATCGACAGTACCCTGCCCATACCCCAGAACCATCCAAAGTGTTCCCACATCTTCCAGCTATTAGTGTCTGTATCTAAGGGTGCTTTCATGTGGGAAATACAAAAAACAAACCTTACTGCCTGTGGCAGGCTGGGAATTGACACCCCAGGAACTGCCTCCAATTATTGATTTTTACATGTTGGTGCATAAATGCCCCAGCTCCCTCATCCCTGGTGTGGGATGATTCTGAAGCCTGTGTTTTTCCCCACTTCCCTGAGTTTCCCATGGATTTCACTTCAGTTGCTTAGTAATATGCCCTTCAATGGCTGCCTTCCCTGAGTCGGTTCCCTACTCATGTTTTCTGCATTTCTCAAATGAACTACTTGCACTCAAATCCTGTTCTTCAAGAACTCAAGCTAGACACTAACTAATGATTTAGCAATATTAACTGGAAAATTCAGCTGTGAGGTGATATTTTGCACAGAACCACATTAAAAAACTTTGACTTTTCCATTAAGCCCTCATCCTCTGCCTTCTCTGCTTGGGAGATCTCCTCTCATACCTTCCTACCACCTTTGCTGCTATCTCCTGTGCTCCCTCTTCTCTTTAGTTCTTCAGACAACTCAGTTTTCTATATCTTGAAAACAGGATTTCCACTTGTCTCTTGAATGCCCTTTGGCTATAGTTCTTTGTATTTCCTTCCCTTCCCTGCCACTCTTTCACATAAGCATCTAAGAAAATTGTCTCTATTTTCTGTTTCCACTTTTTGCTTAACCACTGACAATTTGGGTACCATCATCACACTTGAGTCAAACAGCTCTCAAGTCCCCACTAACAACCCTCTTATTACAAAATGCAGAGATCTTTTTTGTGTTCTCTTGTCGTTTCTGTCACCATCGAGCATATTGATAGCATTTCCTTCCTGAAAATTATGTCTTAAATAATTGAATTCTTAGAATTTCAACTCTGCAAGGGACATTTAGTCCAATCATTTGATTCCACATCTGGGGAAAATGGAGGGTTAAAACAGTCAAATGATTTGCCCAGCAAGGGGCAAAAGTATAAAAGCAAGGCTTTGAATCCAGGGCTTCTGACCTACCATCCAGTTTGAGAACTGCTTTTGGTAATTCCTGGTCCAATACTTTCAAAGTATTTCTAATTTTTACTCCTTCCTTTAGAAGGTCTCCTAGCTGGTCTCCCAGCTCCTTCCCTCCACAGCCTTTCTGCATTGTAGCAGTTAGGATGCTGTTTCTAAAGTGTAAATCAGAACCTATCACTCCCCTTCTTCGCCTCCAGTTCCTCTTCACTGCACTTAAAATAGAACCCAAATCCCTTTCCATGCTTTGTAAGGCTCCTCATGGTCCAGCTCTCTCTCTGATCTCATTTCCTACTATTTTTACTCTTACAGTAACTAAGCTCCATCACATGGACTCTCCCTCAGCTGGTAAGCAAGGCAAGCTCAGCCCTGCACTGGGCATTTGCTTTCCTGTTCCTTCTATTTGGATTTTTTTTTCTCAAAGGCCATTGCATGACTGCTTCCTTCCCATCATTTGGTCTTAGCCTTAGTGGCTGCCTCCTTCAACAGCCTCACACTGATTTCACCATATCTCACATTGTCGCCAAACATACCACTGGCTACAGTTATACATACAACTTACTGATCTGACTTGGAGTTTATTGTGTTTCCCATAATTAGAATACAAATTCATAGAGTATGGAGACTTTGTCTTGTTTGCCATATTTCCAGCACCTAGACCATCAAATGACCAATAGTTTGTGTCCAATAAACATTCTGATAAAAAAAATGAATAAATGAATGGTATCTGAATTTTTCTTTCTCATTTCCAAGAATCCTTTCTCTCTTTTACTTTCCGATTCTATTACTCAATGACGTCTCAATGCTTTCTGCACTATAACCAAACTGGTTTCCTCATAAACCAATAAAGACAAAATATATTCCTGACTGAGAGCCTTGGTTTCAGTTTTCTCTTTGACTAAATATCCCATCCTGTGCCTCTCTATCTGTTCAAATGGTATCACCCCACCAAAGCATAAGTCACGTTGCATTTCCACGAAATCACATCTCTCAGTCATTATTGGTCACCCTTTCTTCAACTTATATAAAATGACCCTTGCATTTTATGTAACCTAAATACTCATATATAATCTATACTATCTTGAATTGTGTCCAGTCCTTTCATATAATAATACTTAGGCACTGTGCCCTAGACACTTTAAATGTGCATGTGTGTGGATGTACAGTCGATCCTCATTAATTTTGGACTTTGTGAATTCACTTTCTCCCTAAAATGTATTTGCAACCCCCGGGAATCAACACTTGCAGTGCTTTCATGGTCATTCATGGACATCCACAGAGGGGTGAAAACTTTGAGTCACTCATGTTCCCAGCTTAGGTCACCCAAGGCAACACCCTGTCTTCTTTTTTCAACTCTCATACTAAAAATGAGTATCCTTTTTTGTACTCTTATTTAGTGCCACTTTTTTACACTTTGTGCTTTTTGTTAGTGGTTTCCCTGTTGAAAAAAGCACCTGAGCATAGTGCTGAAGTGCTGTCTAGCATTCATAAGTGCAAGAGGGCTCTGATGGGCCTTATGGAGAAAATGGGTGTTAGGTAAGCTTTGTTCAGGCATGAATTATGGTGCCATTGGCTGCAAGTTCAACACTAATTAATCAACAGTATATATTAAACAAGGTGTCTTTAAATAGAAACGCTCATAAAACAAGATTATATATTGGTTAGTGATAAAACTATTGCAATCAGAGGCCTATAGAAACCTAACCCTATATTTCCCCTAGGAGCAAAGATTCAATATTTGTTAATTCAATGCTCATGACAACTTTATAGAACATAACTACCACGGATAATGAAAGTTGACTGTGTATGTGTGTATGTTACATATGTGGCCATTAACCTCATTTTGGCATTTAGGAGACAAAGAAGCCAAGTGTTATTGAAATTAAGTAGTGTGCCCAAGATTATCTGTCAAGCTGATAAATGGTTGATCTGGAATCCAGCTGTCATATTCCAAAGTCTTTTGACTTTCAGTTCACCACACCAGTGGCTTTTCTTTGTTTCTTTTAATTAGCTATAGAATCCTGTTATTACAGGGTGTCTGTATATATATATACAGAGAAATAGAGGTAGATGATATTTTTTAAGAAGCTTGCTTTGCAGTCACAGTTTAGTGTTTAATTAGAGTGATCCCAAATCTAAAAAGTAGAAGGACCTCTGCATTTCAAAACTAATCTGGTAACTGCAGATTTGAAGTTCTTTATCATGGAAATGAAACTCTGATGAGTGAACAAACCTTAAGAATCAAAGCTATAAAAATATAGTCATAACCTGAATTTTTGTCCTGGCCCAAGGATCTGTACCTTAAACTCACTGGTCATGTATCTGAGCTGAACTCACACATGCTGTGCAAGTGGACACACCTGCACATTGTATGTGGTTGGGCGTGCCCAGGCCTGATCTCATAAAGAACTATCACCTGCCTAGTCAATTGTGCATTTATATAAAGAAGGGGAAATTGTATCTTGAAATCTATACGAAACAGATTAACATCTGTTAATCTGTATAGTTTACAGTGTTTTATATATCTATACATATATATATTTATACCTATGTGCATGTACATTAAGGCTTTTTTACATACTTCATTATTTAAAAATAAATTATTATTATTTAAACAGTTTTGGAACCTCCAAAGCACCTTCATGAACAGTTTGAAAATCTGTTTTTCCCCCCTTTATGCTATTCTTTTCTTGGGAGATTTTATAAGTACTTAGAGGTTAATTAAGAATTAAATCTTGTGGCTCTGTATTTGCAAGCGATCTTAATTTAGTGCTAAATATAAAGAAATCTGTCATCATTGATAATCAAATTTAGCCCACATGGTTGACAACCAGCTGTATTAATACACAAATTTCTGCGGCATTGTGGCTTGAATTAACTAGTGTGATGGAATGTTATTGCCTGATTCTGTGGCATGGGGTCTTGATACATGTACAAAATGGATGAGATTTTTTTTTCTCATATGATATGCTCTTGACATTTCTTTTTCCCTTGAAAACAAGAGCCAATCATTAGGCTCAAAAGAATACTTCTCAATATTCAAAAAGCTGCCAGAGACAAGGTTGAGTGAGGAGCTCCCAAAAAACAGGGGAGGCAAGACGAGATAACATTTCCTGTCTGCCTCAAGGCTATATGACAAATCCTGGAGGACTAGAAAGGGGACTAAGGGGTCCTTAAAAGCTGTTACATTATCGAACCGAAGGAACTAATTAGTTTCAGCTTAGAATTCTGAAGTCATTATCATTTCAGTATTTTGTGATATTTTCTTTTCCCTTAAATTAATTAAATGGATACATGTCCAGTAACTTTAATGATCCTATTTTGAGGAGCTAAGCTATTCACAAGGTATCAAGGTTGGCTTATTTTTGCCCAGTTTAGAGCACAGCTGAATTCCATGGTGCTGATAAAAATGGATTGACCACGTGACTCCACCTATGGCTTTGTGGGCTGGGTCACTTCTCAAACAGGGCGGAGGACATGTGCATTCAGAAGTGGTGACCTTACTAGTATAAGCATCACTCAGAATTTATTTAGCAAAATCTTCTCCAGCCCTGGAAAGAAGGCAGAAACAGTAGGGAAATGCCAAACTTTTAAGCCTTAGACTCTTGCTTATTTTTCAGCGGAGATTATTGAAAACAATAATTCTTTCTTGTTTCAGGGAAAGCTGTCAGAGGAAGAGAGAAAACACAAAGAAGCTTTGGAAGACCTTCACATGGTGGTAGATGAGGATTCGAGGAGTGAAGGCAGCAGTGCAGATGAGGGGAAAGAAAAGACCAAATTGCTGCTAGAAAGATTGAAGGCTCTAGAGGTAAGAAATGGAAAGCATTTTTACAAGTTTAACAAAAAAATAACTGTGTTCTACTTCTTTTATTGGCACTGCTTTTGAGTGAGTGTAAATCTCCCTCTCTTCAATTCTCCCAGACATAGCTGGGAGAATAGCTGCTTCCCATTGTGATTCCTCTGTCAGTGATGAGCACAAAGTGAAAATCTGTAACCACTGAGAGAGTCTTGACCTAGTAACTATGATTGTATTGCCTTAAAAAGAGTACATAGGACAATAATTCATTTTTAATTCAATCCAGCCCTCAAACTGGATCAGTTTCCCTAAAACTGCAAGCTCCTTGAGGGAGAGGATGAGTGATATTTCACTTTTTTCCCAGTGCCTAATGTAATGAACAGATGAGTGAATGGATAAACAAAAGATTCAATATGATGTACCAACAATTGTGAAAAAAAAATTAATTTTAGGTGATAGAGCTATTTCTTCAAAAAGCAAAAAAGCTTGTGTGGAATTTTAACATGTAAAACATGTAAAAGTAGAGGTGAAGTTGAGCTAAAGCGTGCTTTAAAGAGGTTTTCTGACCATTGCAGTCCTCAAACACAGTTTGAAACTTCTGATCTATTACTTAGTGCCAGTTGACATCACTTCAAGTGTCAATTTCTGAATGTTTACAGCAGGCCTCAAAGAACCGCTTATTCATTCATATGCTGAAGGACCTAGCAAAGATGTCTTTTTCTATGAGTTGGCTTACCTGCTTTCAATACATTTTGTTTGCATAATAGAACTGGGACATCATTACTTTTAAGCAAGGACTGTGGTTAGCTCACGTCTTCTTAAACTAGGCACAAGGGGCTTTTTAGCCAATATCTAAAAATGTAGCTCCACCATAGGATCTACAGAATCTTAGAACTTCTTTCAGTAAAGTCAAGAAACAAGAAACAAGACCTCAAGAGATCTTGTTTTCTATGGTTGGTTCCTGCAATCCTGCCCCTAACCCTAACCTACCACGTTGTCTGTAGGAGCATGCTGTTTTTATTTTAATTTCCTCAGCAATAATAAAGCAAAATAGTTAATACCATGGACTTTGGAGGCAGATTCCCAGAGTTTGGTTTGAATCCCACTTCTATTACTTTCTAGTTTTAAAGCCTTGGGAGACTTAACAGAGGCACAGAAAACCTAATTTCCTCATCTGCAAAACTGGAGATAATAATAGTAACTTACCTTCCAGGGAAGTAATATGGGTTAAATGAGTTAATATTTGTACAACAGTCTCTGGCACGTGGTCTTTTCCTTCCTCCTACTCCAAGGCTCCTGCCTTTTCTTAAATCATTTTTCCCATTTATCTGGATGTAATGTTTAATACAACAACTATGAATGAAAAACGTCAGCTGCTCCACACAGGAGTGACTGAAGGTAGGTTAAGCATGTGATGTCGTCATGCTTAGGGCAGAAAACAGGTAAACTTAGGGAACCTCTGGCAGTTCCCCTTGGGTAAAGGGCCCAGAATCACCCTTGAAGCCCCGCAAAAGGCTCACACTTCTGTTGTTATTAAGATAGTTACTGTGAAAGGTGGGAAAGCCTTCTCCAGGGAGACTGAGGTTGCCATCAGAGAGCTTTGAGAAAGTCATAGCTTTGTCTTGATGGTGAATTAACTGGATTTAAGAGTAGGAATGACTTGATATTACAATTTCTTATTTCCCTAGCACCGTGTACTTAAATGGTTATTTTTATTGATGATTATGGTGAGAATTGCTTTTGGTTCATCTAATTGTTACTGAGACAACTTAGTGAAAAACATTTTATTTCATCAAGCTAAGAGGTATTTTAAAAAAATCTTTGGCAGCGAATGTTTCTTAAACCCTCACTGAGCAAAAGAGAAGCAATATTTTTTTCCTTTCACAGAGATCTTTACACTTCAGGCAAAAACTCTGGCATCCAGCATTAGTTGGATGCAATAGATGATATCTCTAAGTGTCATTCAGCCCCACAATTTTAATTTACAAAAATGTTTTATTTTCTAGGTTAATGTCCCCTAGTCAATGTCACTGCTAGTTCCCTAAGATTCTTTGCTGAATAGTAAGTGAACTCTCTCCTTGCTCCCAAATCTCACTATTGTCTCCTTAAACAGACAATAAAAAGACATCATATCCCCCTCTCTCTCACACACACACATATTATCTGATTTTCATATGAATTTTATGTTACTTTATTTTTTTTAATTTACTAGCTGTGCTCTCTGTATAGAATCCTTTGCATAAGTGGGCAATTACTGCAGGAAAACTGAGGGCTCATTTTGACAGACTGCAGTCAGAGCTGGTCACAGACCCCCACATAGATTTTATACACTTTAACAAAAATGCTCTTTTGGAAGATTGCAGGTGAATTAACCATAATGCTTCAAAATAGTTTTGGCAAATTTTGATGTCATACAGCAAGATTTTAGAAAAACAAAAAATATTTTCCATGAGTGTATTTTTGAAACAACCGTATTTGTGTACCCTAATCTCTTGGTCCCTGGTGTTGTAGGAACCAGAGAAGGAGGGTTGTCAGGGTGATGGAAAACAGATTTTCTTAATTTCTGCTTCGGAAATAGGTCCCAAGTAGGTATGGAAAAGGACAGGAGACACAGACCTGACTTCTAATATTATGTACTTGATTAATATCACAACAATATTTTTAAAAACAGCCTAGATTGAAGCTGAGGAGGCCCTGACTTTGAGAATTAAGTATATATTGTCCAAATACCATATCCCACAGCCTGAAGAAAGTCTGCTCCCAACCCTACTCTAGAGCTGTTCCGTCCTGCAGTCATTCCTGGGGCTGAGTTCCTACACTGCTCAACTTTCAATCCCTTTCCTTGCCTTTTAGAAGGGATATCATGTGTAACAGAATCCACTTTACTCAATTTTTCCAAAAGCTAACCCCACGCAGGGTGTGTGGTCATGCAGGATACTCCCAAGACTAAGGGCTTTGCACTTGGTCTTTAGATGGTGCTTTCCTCCAAGTCCTTCAGCTGCAGGGCATTTCTCACTCATCCCTTCTCAATTCCTGGCCTCCTGCCATAGGGCATGGCCAGCTCTTTCCCTCCCGCTCATGCTCCCATGGCCAAGCTCCCCAGCATTTTATTACGCAGAGCTCCATCACTCTCTGCACCCCACCCCTGGTCTCACCCCTACCATTTCCTGGCCTCATCAAGGTATTTTGCTGAATAAGAACTTTACCTTCCCAAAAGAACTCCTGGGCCAGCCAGAAGTCAAAATAATAATGACATACACACACATTTCACACATTTTCTTTCTCCTCTTAGCAGTTGTTTTCTCTCCTCGGTGCCTTGGTTTCAGTAATTTTCAGTTGTTCATAAAGAGGAGTAGGCTACTTACCCTCATCACCCAGCAACTGTTTCCCCTGGGCATAAATTCTCATTTTTGTTTAGGGCCCCAAGTCTGGTGGAGAAACCACTTGGTGTATTTCATGTCTGTGTCATAAGGACCACCTGGGCGATCTGGATGCCAGTTGTCCATTTCTGTAACTCTTAAGTGCTAGATATGGTGTTTTCTGTTTTATTAAAAAGTCTAGATTTCCATGGCCGCTGTTTCAGAGACGGCTTGCTCAGAATAAAGCTCACCATTTCTACCTGCACTGCCATATCCCAGGCTCTTCTGTTGAAAAACCACTTATCTCCCACCCCATCCCAGACCATTGATTTACGGGATCTTCCCAGACTTGACCTTCACAGTCCATTGATCTGACTTTGTGTTTTCCCTGTTCTCTACTCCTGGGCTGTGGCCTCGGGTCCTAGGTTTGCTCGCGGCATGTTCCTTGAAATCCACGATTGCTTGTCTCCAGACCCCACTACCCCACGTACCAACCAGCCCTTTCTCCCATGCATTGACTGACTTTGCGCCTGGCTGGAAATCTCCGGCATCCCTTTGCTCACTCTCAACTCCCACAGCATCTCTGATTCCCAGACTGTAGCCCAGAGGAGGACTGGCCTGAGACACCTGGGAGTTCTGAGCCTTCAGGTACTTGCTGATGCCTTAGCTATAGCCTCAAGGTCAGAAGAACTTGGCATCTTATAGGAAAGATTTATTTTGTGCAAGAAAACATGGCAGTTAAATGTGTTAGAGTGAATAACAGCTTTCTCTGCTCAGTTATACTTTCCATAAAAGTAGGACAATTAAAGTGCTCAGCATAAGCATTCTTGTTCATCGGGAACTCCTGTTTAAAATGAGGTAGTTAAAAATAGTAATTCTCAAATCTGGCTGCAACATATAATCTCAACTATATGTTGAATTTGTAGTCAGTCAGTATGTACTGAATACCTTCTATGGACAAATGCTATTCTAGACACTGGGATTTGATCAATTCTCATGGTCCCTAACCCCAGTAAATGGAGACAGAAAGTGCATACTTAGATAAAACAATAAATAAGCAAAATACCAAATGAATAGACAAATGAATAAGAAAAAAATAGGTGATGTAGTAGTAGAGAGTGTGGGGATGGACATGGGAGAGGTATTTACCTACAATGGCCGCTCACACCGGGCCATGTGGAGGTAATAATGTAAATAAAAAATAGGAGACAGCTGTGTGAGGATCTGGCCGAAGAGCAAGAAGAGACTGCAAGTGTGAAAGCCTAGAGGTGGTAGAAATTTAGAGGAATAGAAGGAAGAACTTTGTTCTGGGAAATAAGACATAAGGTTTGAAAATTAGAAGAAAATGAATTCAGAGAGGTAGACAGAGGCTAGACCCTATGAAGCCTTCTAGGTCACGGTCACAGTCACAGTAGAGATTTTGAACAAAATGGTAAAGGTGAAGGAAGCCATGAGAGACTTATAACTAGGGGAGAAACATGATCTGACCTGTGCTGTAGAAAGACAGCGCTTGCTGATTTGTGGGCTCGTAGCAGGGCAGAGATAGAGACAGGAAGATCAGGCAGGGGATTGTTTCAGATTCCAGACTGATGTATTGGAATGGTCTAGGGTGGTACTTAAGACTAACGGGGAATAAAAATAATAGAACTAGGT